ATGGAATGCTCTTGGGCCTTGTAAGACTCTTGGGAACTTCAGGAGGATGGTTTGAGGCTTGGTGTCAATCGAGAGAGACCGGAACCTCGAGATATGACTTGCATTAATTCTTTGATTTCTAGATAGCTTTTTGAAGAGATTTTGGAGAACTTTTTGGAGAGGAATTTCGTGCTCCCTTTGGATTCTAATGTTATGTATTTATAGAGGGAAGATAGGAGTGAACAAACATGGTAAAGAACCAATGCATTTATGGCCTTGGAGACAAGGATAAACCACATTGAAAAATGTCCATATTTGTGATATCTTTGCCTCTTTGGTCACTTGCATGAACCTGGTCCCTTTGGATGTATCTTGCACGAAAATATGGGCCTTCTAATAGATCAAATCAAACACAAATGTCATGGCCCATTATTCTTTGTATTTTTATTTAATTTATTTGATTTAATTCATATTTAAATGAATAAAAATTCAAATAAATAGAAATAAAAATCAAAATAGTGCATGGTTAGGTTTAGAGGTCCTTGGGTATGTCATAAACATGTTTGAACACTAAAAGTTAGGTCCATTAACCTAAAAATACAATTTTAATGTGGTAGGTGATTTGGAAAACTACTTTTTAATCTTTAAATTTCTCAATTAAAAGCAATTTTTTATTTTGGACTTAGCTAAATCTCACGAATTGTAACAACAAAATATCATGCTTTTTACCAATAGACTGTGTCGATTCTAGAACTTTAGGCTGAGATTCAAAAATCTTCCAAATACAACAACATATAATTAGTAACCTTCATCAATTTATTTAAGTTCGACATACAAATAATAATGTGTATTTCAATAGAAGTCATATAGTATTTGTGGTAAAGAACTGCGTAACATCAGTACATAAATCCGTAGAAGAAGCTGAAGCTACCGGCTTTGGATCGCAAATGTATAAAAATTCATTTCCAGGCATACCAGAAACTCCAGCCATAACTGAAATTTCCGGTAACATGGAAATTTGAGTAATTTCCAGTTTACGCAATGGTGTTTGGAAATTGTTTCGAAAATTTAAGTAATTTCCAAATAAGGCCTAAAGAGTTTCCCAAACTGTTTGAAGGACACCTATGCTTGCCCTCCTCCAATGGATTGCCTTTGTAGGTGAAAAATACGGAAGAAGAGGGGCAACGTAGTGTCTATTTGCAGATACTGGCAGACGAGCTCAAATGCCCGCATGAATGCCAACGCGTTTGGGTAAAGTTGAGAGGGTGTCAATTGAAGCCACTGTAAAACCCCCACTTGAAAATCATTAAAGAGAAAACACATCCCCGCCTCTTTGAATGTGAACTCGTACATGGGAAAAATTTTTCCCGGATATGTCGAGAAGATCCTCCGGTTGTGATGAGGAATTTGGAGAATCCAGTTGGTGGGGGCCTCTTCGGCTCGAACCTCCAGACAGTTGAACGCGTCGGTCGTGTCATGCGAAAAACACATCTTTTTATTTCGAGGCTCAGGCGCGACCAAGGCCAAGGGGTCCTCCTCGACGATGGTTTCGTCCTCGTGGTTGGAGGGCAAGACATCATCCCCGACCGAATGTGCCATTATACATGAAAAGCAGGGGAAAACAGTGAATTCGACATCATCAAATTCACCCTTCCACCATAAATCAAGTGAAAGGGAGATGAAGCGGTCGAGGAGCGGACCTGAACCTAAGCCCTTGATCGCACACTAAAATGGACTACACTCCTATTGGGGATATCTAGTCAAACGGGCTAGAAGCCAGAATCAACCCCCACTGTTCGGGGAGATTTTCCCTGACATCATGAAAATTAAACTCATGAACTTCAATGAACATTCATGAATGTTCATCACATAACTCATGAATATTCATATAAGATTCATCCAGTCAAAGCAAAAACTAGGTGTTTAATCTAGAAATACTCAGGAAATACATTTCTAAGGAGATATGACTTACTTGGATGAAGGATACTTGAAAGAAATCTGGAGAAGTTGGGAGGAGAGGATTCACACGCGAGCAAAGGAAGTTGGAGAAGAAAACTTGAGAAATAATAAATGAAACCCTGGGTTCACCTTTTTTATAGGTGGCTCACACCCCACGAGGTTCATCACGAAAAGTCATCCTTAGATTGGGCCTTTTGGACTCCCCATGAAAAGATGAAACTCCAAAGGAACAGCCACGTGGCCCAACAATCAGCCACATATCCATTCTCAAGAGATGGACACGTCCTCGACTTGAACACGAAACATCGTATGCGAGCACGATACAGACGCTTCACACGGAGAAATGCTCTGCACCATGGCTAAAACATGCACACAGGCTTATTCATTGTGGTCCACCTCGAGGACGAAATGACGCTCGACATTGTAACAACCCCTTGAAGACGGGCACGTCAAAAAGGAGTTCGTGGAAGCTCCCCGTAGGCTATATACTCCTGTCTAATAATGGACAAACAACTGATCCATTCGGTCTCACAACTCGCTTGTCCATGAGATTCCTGACACGGTCAAACAAGTTGTCCTTGACACGGGCAACAAATCGTTTCCACCAAAGGATTTCGACATCCCTCCTCGAGCGAATTATCCCAGGCCATAAAGCTGAACTTAAGTCATCACCCTTTCACCTAAGGGAAATAACTTATGAGGCTCCTGATCTGGACTGGGCCCACACCTGCCCCACTGTTGAGGAGGCCTAATCCAGCACCTTTGTACAAGGCCCAAAGGCAAGCAGCCCAAGCTGGAGATCATTGGGAAACTTCCCACGCGTCCATTGGGGAACGTAGCCCACGTGTCCCTAACATTATCATCATAACTGCCCTCCGGAAATCACGGGTCCAACACCTATTCTCCTGTGGCAGTTGACCAGGGGGGCTCCATGCGTTGGACCCCATACGCACGTAAGCTCTGGTAGTCTTCATTATTGGGCCTCATCGTGGCCAAAAATTGGGGACCTTGGCCCAGCGTTGAGGGCTATAAATACCCTCTCATTTGAGAGGGTCAGGTATTCATTCTCATACTCATACTCACACTTCCTTGCACTCTCCCTAAAACTTACTTTGGCATCAGAGTGTCTTACGGGTACTAAACTAATGGTCTTTTGCACTCTCCCTAAAACTCTCCATCTCGCTTTCAACCTCAGCTCGACGTAAGGCCTTGGCGATCACTCTGGTCAGGTATGATCACTAACATACTAAACTAATGGTCTTTTTCACAAATACCCGTTACAAGAAAATTTAAACAAATGGACATAACAAACAAACCCAATTTGTCTCTTATAAAAAGGAACAAATATAATATTTTTTATGTTGGACTTATAGAAAATCGCGAAAAATAATAATTTTCATACCAGTCTTTTAAAAGTATGGTAAAAATGAATAAAATGAATACTTTGGTCGAATTATCTAAAATGTAGGGGTGTCGGGTAAAAAGTGTAGGGTACGTGGTATAAATCTCTATTTAATTTGAGGATTTAACATCTCAAACCCCCCCCCCCCCCATTATATCAGCCATTCCCTCAGTGGCAAAATTACCGAAAAGTCCCTGCAAAATACTAGAATTTTTGAAATTCTCGGTTTCGCACCAGAATTTTCGGTAGAATATCTGAAATTTTGTTTAATTTATAACTTTTACTGTGGCTTATGCGGTACCAGAAATTTGAAACTTTTGATATTTTTCTTTCTTATGTGTACCGAAACTTTAAAATTTCCGGTAGGTCCCAAAATAAACTAGAAATTTCAAATTTCCAATAGTACTGGGAGTTATTTTTCCCAATTTTTAACATTTGTTTGAATAATTTATTCAGTAAATCAACTAACCGACTTAATATATAAATAGAATAATTGTCATACATATTTGAACTGAAAAATACTACAATCACTTCCTACACAAACCTTTCATAGTATAAATGTCATCAGGGGTGGACCCAGATTCCTTTTTTCTTTTGAAATTTCCTCCTATATCACAACCAATAATGAATTTATCCTTCCTCTCTCGTATTCCATTAGCTGAATCTGAACAAATTGTAACAACAACAATACCATATTTTTTACCAATAGACTGTGCCAATTCTAGAACTTTAGGTCGGGATTCAAAAATCTGCCAAATACAACAACATATAATTAGTAAACTTCAATTTATTTAAGGTCGACATACAAATAATAATGTGTAAGTTCAATAGAAGTCATATGATATTTGTAGTGAAGAACTGCGTAACATCAGTACATAAATCCGTAGAAGAAGCTGAAGTTGCCAGCTCTGGATCACAAATGTATAAAAATTCATTTCCAGACATACCAGAAACTCCAGCCATAACTGAAATTTCCGGTAACACGGAAATTTGAGTAATTTCCAGTAACACGGAAATTTGAGTAATTTCCAGTTTATGCAATGGTGTTTGGAAATTGTTTCGGAAATTTAAAAATTTCTTGTATTTTTCAATCAGAAATTTAGAAATTTTCGATATTTTCGCAACCGAAAATTTACAAAATACAAAGTATTTCTGGTATACGCAAAAATTTGGATACTGGAAATTTGATAAGCGTACCTAAAATTTGGTTTTTATCCACTTTGATAAATAGTAATTTTTTTTTAACAAATATAAATTTTTTAGAGTAAATAGTGAAAAGATGATTTTAGAAATAATGAAATATGGAGACGGCATGTATAATTGAAAGGTGAGATGTTAAATCCTCTTTTAATTTGGACCAACATTAAAAATGAGGCCCAAAAAGAGATTGAAATCTTGTTAGGCAAGACATTCTTATTTACTTCATTAATGACAAATTTTAAGGATTCTAGGGTTTGTTTGATCCCACATAACGGTTACAAGAGTTTGTCTAACGATAGCTTCTATAAATAACCATTCCCGCTATCTCAACATTCATTCACTCACTCTCGCTCTCTCTCTAACATTCATTCTCTCTCTTTACAATCAATTCTATATCGTTCTTTCAACACAACACTCTGTCTACGATCATCATTTGTGTTGTTTTCCGTAAGAAACAAGAATGTTGATTCCACTTGCAGTTATTGATGATGTTGCTATCTTGGATCCTCGTACCCACAACAACATGTTACACCCTGTTTATGTTCTCTTTGATTCTCGTACCATGTCTCACTACCACCACCCAACATCAACAACGCCACCACCTTGGTCTGTCAACATGTACAACAATGTCCCAAGAAGATTAATGTCTCACTACCAGAACAATGTCCCAAGAAGATTAATGTCTCACAACCAGAACAATGTCCCAAGAAGATTAATGTCTCACAACCACAACCACGTTCCAAGATCAATGTCTCACAACCGCAACAACGTTTCATCAAGATTCACTTCATCAACGAGCCGCAACAACGTTTCATCAAGATTCACTTCATCAACAACCGTGTCTGTGGTAGATGAAACTCTTGTCTATGATTCTACTATCACCAACAACATTCCAAGAACACGCTCATTTAATCTCCACCACCACAACAATGGTACTAGAGCTTCTTCTTCCCCTGTGATCGGTGTTCAAGAACATGTTACAACATCAACAACAGATGCAGAATCCATCTGTTGCATTTGTCTTGTTCACTTGTCTAATGCTTCTTCCACGCCAATTCGGTTGCGCTGCTCTCATCTTTTTCACACTGAATGCATTCAGAAATGGGTTAATATCAGACAAACGTGTCCACTCTGTCGGGCCGATGTTTAGTTTTCATACATTGATACTAGTACTAGTTTGCCACTGTCTTTGTGTGCAAGCCTGTTGTTTTGTCTTATTCTTTGTGTCAATACTGCAGATGTATAAGGTTATAGGTCATTAGGTTTCTCAATATTTAGAACTATGCTTCTACTTTGAACAATGTAGACCTTTGGGTTGTATGTTATTTGAAATCCACATTTTTAAATGAAAAACTTGTCATTCTCTAAATTTTCATAGCGGAAATTTTACAACTCATGGCCTTTTTGTTTTTTTAGTAATGTTGCAGTGTCCAAGATTATTTAAGTAACTAATGAACAACTTACAATAATGTGTTTGCTGCTATCTCGTTTCTCTCCTAATACTTATCATAGTACTTGTTTGCTAATATTACATTGGTAAGGTTGCGGGAAGGGCTGAATGACGTTTAATGTTTTACTTTATTACAATTGTTGTCAGTCAAGGAAGGTCGTTTCCGCTTGGAATGCCTCGGTTGAATGTAATATCTCGATTAAAAGAGTATTTTGTTATTGAAATGACCTTATATATATTTTACTTCAATCTATCTTGATTCATAGAATGCTTAGGTCTAACTAAAGAAATTTTATGTGATATCTACAGAAATGGCATACTTGGATTTAAGATGTACTGCTATCAATGAGTTGCCACTATCAGTTAAGTACCTAGGTAATCTTATGAATTTAGAGCCGAGTAGCTGTGCCCACCTTAGATATCTTCCAAATGAGTTTTCAAGCTTCAAACCTCTGTTTTGTTTCTGCATGGAGGCGCGGTTCAAACGAATGTCTACTTCAAAGATACAAGCTGTAGCATCTCTAAAGTCGCTAAGAATGGTATTTTCTTGCCACCAAGAGGAAGATTAACCAATGGAGCCAAATTTTCATTGAGATGAACATAGATCATATTATGTGAAGGATCTGTGAGAATGTGAATCACAGGAACTTGCACTAGTTGCGGTTGATTTCTCATCACCGTTGAAGATGAAGAATGATTAGAGCTCAAGGCTCATGTTACAAGAGTGAAGCTATACATTCACTAACTTGTATGATCGGTTAACTAATTGCAACAAACAACTAATTAGACTAACTAACTTGTAAGAATTGGTTAGAGTGCATAGCTTGTGTTGTAAGTAACTGAATCCTGTGATAAAGGCAGCTATATTTATTGCATTTCATCTCAACAAACATGGTCTTCAAAATCTGACGACGTTGCTTGTGCATGTTTTGGTGTTGTCTAATGGTTCCACAGTATCCAACCTTGCTCTCTTGTATTTCACCAAAATTGCAATAAAAAACAGCTCAGCGTTAGGAGGACAAAAGCATGTCACATGAGTATTTGGTTAGCTTTGAATTGTATTGGTGTGATATAGCTTTTTTATACACACATATTATGGCTCTTTCTCCTTATTCTGGTTTTTGGTACACGTGTCTCTTTTCTTTATTGGATGTGGAATGTTATAAGTGATCCAATAAACTTAACATTTTAGGAATGGTTACTGTCAAAAGATAAATTGGAATGTGCATGTCAGTACTTCTATTATTTTTGTGAAGGCTTTATATAGACTTGGCTGCAATCCATAGCAGATTTTGCTGAATGCGAATATTTCGATGGCTCTAAAGAAGTTGTAGTATATAAGAACTTCATTTTGGTGTCTTGGGTTAGGTTGTTTTTTATTTTCCTTTTTTAGTTGCACTAAAATTTACTACTATTTTTCATTAATATTCACACATTTTACTAGGTGGCACACGAAATGTTTCTCTCGTAAAATTGCAAATTAAAAACGGTGCGGAACACACATAATAGAGAGGGCGGGTTGTTGGAAATCTTGATTTGCCCTGCCCGCAGGCCTTACAACTATAAACACTTAATTTTTTTCAAAAAGTTTGGCAAAAAAAACAGAGTGGGAATAGACATAATAGAGGGCTTCTGACATAAAAGCTTAGCTCACAACAACAATAATCAAGTCTTACTATTAACTTATTAAGTGAAGTCGACTAAGAGAGCCGCTACTGCTCGACCTGAGTCACAACCCGTCAAGACAGAAGAACAAAGAGCTCCACTCAAGTTTGACTCCATCTCGCTTGACACCCGCTTTGACAAGGATGAAACACCCAACGGCGAATAGGAACTCCTTCGACCAATCCCGGACGGAGACTTCGAGTTCGTCTCCCTTGATGAAGACCCTCACAAAGGCGTGAAGATCGACACCAGACTCAGCGGCACCGTCTGTGGGAAACTAGCTTCCCCGTCTTTCGTTTATCTAAGACAAAAGCAACTCCAAACTCTTGATTGTCATGGCTGACCCAGCTGCCAACAACATCTTAGACGCTCATATCGCCGACCCCAACAACAATGTCGTCGATAACATGGGCAACAACAACGGAAACGACGGCGACATGGTCGATCTCATGCAGAATTACAAAGACGGCATGACTGCCTCCTCCTCGTCACGCTCTCGACCAAACGAGGGCGCCCATCCGCCCCAGAACTACGAGCTGAACACTTTCCAAAAGGTCCTCGTCCCTCCGGGCGCTGATGCCACAACAATGTTCGCGGCCATAAACCAGACAAACTACATGATCTTCTCGCAAGGCGAGCGATTAAGGGCGCTCTAAGACTCTCTTCGAGCCCCCAGAAGATATAGAAGACCTGACACTCCACCTCCTCGTCAGGATGAAGACCGTCTTCAATATCCCCCGCGGAGACACATACGGGACATGTCACAGAGCCTCTCTCCCCGACGGACTGGATGACGCCCCGCACTGGAGAGAACCATGCCCAAGACTACCGGGAGACGTGCCCCCCCGGCGCATGGAACAACGATCCCCTGAAAACAAAAATAGGGGTAATATAGAAACACATACTCTACCAAAGAATCCTCCCCGAGGCCAAGGACATCGCTATGATCGCCACTACAACCGGTCCCTTTCCCACGCCCCATACAAGAGCGATGAAGATGACCCCCGCGGTCCCTTGTCGCAGGCAATCATGGACGGGTTCGAAGCAATGATCCATTATCATAATGTCATGGGCCCAATCAAGTGTCGGTTGTTCTCCACGACCCTGAGGAAAACTTCGATGGACTGATATAAAAATATCCCCCCAGGATCGATCACCTCCTGGAGGAACCTGGAGAACCAATTCATCAACTCTTTTACAACGTGTCGTCGACACCCGAAGATCGAGGTCGCCCTTGAGGATATCGTCCTAAGAAGTGACGAAACCCTCATGGAGTTTATTGATCAGTTCAATTGCGAGGCCATTCAGGTCTCGTGCACCAATCACATGAAGAGATATTTGTTCGAAAGAGGACTCCTCCCAGGCACAAAGTTCAGGAAGACCGTTGGCATCGAACCACCCCAGACTTTTGACGCACTCCTCGAGAAAGTTATGGCCTATATGGACTACGAGGAGAGGGAAGCGGCCAATAGAGCCCATGACCTAAGGAATCGCGGATCGACCAGCACTTTGCAACACCAGGATGCAGTCCCTCCTCGATGAACGGGCGAGAAGAGGAGGGGTGACAAACCATGGGATCCCCGCGAGCACATGGGGGGCCCGCAGGGAGATCCACCAAATACACTCCGCTGACAGCTTCCCGCGAGTGCATCTTGGCGGAGTGTACCAATACCGAATTCAAGGACGGCGGCGTCAAACATCCTTGCTCTGCCCCTGCAAAGCTCGAGGATGACAGGAGCAAATACTGTCAGTACCATTGGAACCACGGGCATCTGACTGAAGACTGCATCCATCTCAAAGACGCCATTGAAACCCTCATCAAGTGTGGCAGACTCGGGAAATATCGCCGCAATGACGCCCCTCGCCGAGATGCCCACGAAACAAGAAAGGTTGAGGAAGACACCCGACCATCAGATGAAACGGCCCCCATCCAAATAGCCTTCTCCGTTACAAGGTCGGAGGACTTCTACGTCCCCGACAGACACAAAGAAGAACCTCTATCCATGCACAGTAGGTGGGATAGATTCCCCTCCGCCATGGTTATAACTGGCGGGGGGTTCAATGATATCTCCATAAACTCCGCAAAAAGGAAGCTCGACGAGTTGGTTTACGCAACCCCGACTCAAGCGGTGACATTCGAGAAGGGAAAGGGAAAATCAGAGCCAATCACATTCTACCTCAAATAGTTTCCCGGAGGGGACCCTAACTCGAGCATCCCTCTTCTGGTAAGGGCACGAATGTCTAATTTCGACGTTCACCGCGTCTTGGTCGACGAAGGGAGTTTCGTCTATGTTATGTACATCCATCACTTCTGAACCTTACAGCTGGACGACACCCACCTTTCACCATATGTGAAGTCCGATCTGCAAGGCTTCAATGGCTCGACCTCCAAACCATGGGGGTATGTGGAGCTCTTCGTCACCTTCGGGGAGGAAACCACCGCCCGACAGGTCAAGGTGCGATTTCTGGTCATCGACTGTCCATCTCTCTACAACTGCATCCTAGGGAGACCAACACTGGCTGAACTGACTGTTGTCCCCTCCACCGTCCACCTAAAGATGAAATTCTACACGAAGAGGGGACGCGTCGCCACCATCCCCGGTGACATCTCAGTTGCTCAAAGATGCTTCAAAGTTTCTTCAAAGGGATAGAGTACGGTCAACACCAGGGCACGACCCGCTAAGAGAGTCGTTACTGCTCTACCTGAAGTTTGAATCCATCTCGCTTGACCCCCGCTTTGACAAGGATGAAGCACCCAACGACAAACAGAAACTCCTCCGACCAATCCCAAACTGAGACTTTGAGTTCGTCCCCCTCGGTGAAGACCCTCACAAAGGCGTGAAGATCGGCACTGGACTCCCCAAATTGGCGAGGAAGAAAATCAAAGCTTGCTTGAGGGAGAACGCATACCTATTCGCATGGAGCGCCACAGAGATGCCTGGAATCGACCCCGAGGTCGCCTGTCACCACTTGGCCATTGATCCAGTCGCTAGGGAAATAGTACAACATAGACGTAGGAAGTCTCCCGAGAAAGC